GGCAAGGGGCAGCGCGCGGGCCGCAAAGGGTGACGCGCGGGCTGCCAGGGCGGCGCGCGGGCTGTTAGGGGCGGTGCGCGAGCTGCAGGGCAGCGCGCGGGCAGAGAACAGGCAGCGCGCGGCCAGCAGGGCAGCGCGCGGGCAGAGCAGGGAGTGCGCGGGGCGGCGCGACGCAGGGCAGGGCGTGCGCGGGCGGCGCGACGCAGGGGAAGGCGGGCGCGGGCAGCGCGACGCGTGGCAAGGCGTGCGCGGGTGGCGTGATGGGCAGGGAAGGGCGTACGCACGCGGCGCGATGCAGGCAGGGCGTGTGCGGGGCGGCGCGACGCAGGGCAGGGCACGCGTGGGCGGCGCGACGCAGGGCAGGGCGTGCGCGGGCGGCGCGACACTGGGCAGGGCGCGCGCTGGCGAAACGACGCAGGCAGGGCGCGCGCAGGGCGACGCGACGTAGGGCAGAGCGGGCGCGGGCAGCGCGACGCAGCGTAGGGCAGGGCAGGGCGTGCGCGGTTGGTGGGGCAGCGCGACGGGCAGGGTACGATTGGGTGGGCCCTAACGAGAACGGTCCTAGGACAAGACATGCTCTGATACCAAATGCGAACGCTGGCGCCAGCGCCAGCAGCAGCTACCGCCGCCCCCCCCCCCCCTCCCCCCTCCCCCTCCCTTCCGCGGCTACCATCGTGTGGGGGGGGAGGAGATGTGGGGGGGGGGGGGGGGGGGGGGGGGGGGTGAGAGGTTGAATGGGAGGGTGAGGGGCTGGCAGAAGCAAGTCGAGCATCTGCAGCTACTACCTGTTGCAGGCACACCCCCAAAGATGCTGAGCCGTGCTGTCCTGCTGCTCGTTGCAGCCACAGCGCCTGCTCTCGCGCCCACCTGCCGGGTCCTGCACCTGCAGTTGTTGCATTTATCATGGCTGATATGTGTTGCTTTTTCCCCTGCTTCTTCCACTCCTCAGTGACTTCACAAGCTCATACCGCAAGCAGATTAAGGGTGTGTGTTAAAGTTATGCATACCCTGCTTGTTGTGCACCATAGTGAACCTCCTCTTTCGACCAATTCTTCTCGCCTCTCACGCTGCTCTCATATACCCCAAACGCTAGCTATGGCTCCACTTAGTCTCCTATTTTGACACAGAGGGACCACTTTCGTTAGGTGACGACGGCCTAGATTTTGTACGACATTGTGGTTAGACACTACTCCTCCCTCTCTCCTGCCACCCGGCCAGTCGTGACAGCAGCGCCGCCCTTTGTTAGGGGAGATGCAGCAGCTGGTTGAGGAGGCGAATATAGGTGCCTGTGCGTCTGCTCGTACAAGTGGTGCCACTGGTGGAGGCGTAGGTTCTGAGGGTGGACAGCAGCGGCAGCAGCGTCAGCTGGCGACCCTCTTGCCGCTGCAGCTTCGGGAGTCGGTTTCCCAGCGACGTGTGCATGATGGTGTATAGGCTTCTAGTCTAGGTGCCTGTGAGCCTGCTAGTTCAGGTGCAGCTCCTGCTAAGGCTTTGCACACTTTCACGCTTGACTGTGGCGCGTCTCGCTGCTTCTTCTGCGACTGCACCACAGTCACACTGCTCACTGCACCAGTCCCTGTCACTCTGCTAACCCCTCTGGGGGCCCAATTGTAGCACGTGCCTCCACCGTTCTCCCGTGTCCGGCAGCCCCCTCTGACTCACTCGGCTTGCACCTTGTAGGTGTTGAAACATGTTACGGTATTATGAGAGCTTGCTAGTCTCTAAAAATCCTAGGCTAAGGCTTTTTTCTTAGCCCAACACAGATCGTGTTCACCCTTCGATGTATTTCGGCCCAAAACGGGTAAAAACAACTGGTACAGTATGTCCTTAGTTTTCCGGAGGACCAACTTGATCCTCTTCCCAAGTGTCGAAGTGAAAGGCCCCCGGCCCTCGCTTGGGCGAACCGCTCTGATGCTGCGCTATCAATTCGCCTTACAGAATGTTTGCTAGGTGTTGCAATGCCATTCTAGTCATATCAACTTGCATGCCTCATTTGTACTATATTCTCCATGTTCTTTTCAAATTCTTAGCGAAACTCTTGCCAAATTTCTCTATGAACGTAGCAAGCAGTAAGTACGTTAGTAGAACGCTACGATCACCCACACAACCCCGTGCCCTCCTTCGTAGTCCATGTCAGAATGTTATTCTCTAGCCTGTAGTGGGGTGCTCTATAGCGAGTACAACCCATCTAGGGTTTGCTATATGTATCCTCATTGCTGCTAGTGAAACCCCCTCTTTTGCCTAAACTTTCTCTTGCCTAGCTAGGGTTCTCCTAGCTATGGCTCCTCATTCTACCTACTGCTTTCACATGGTGTCAGAGCGGTTACGCTCATGGCCTGTGGGCCCCACTCGATGCTTCCGCTGCTTTCCTATCCGTCGCGCGCCATGGGGCGCGCGACACCTTATTTTTTCTTCCCGCCGCGCGCTCGGGGCGCGCGGCGGTTTTCTGCCCGCCGTGCGCACGGAGCGCGCGGCGGTTTCCTGCCCGCCGTGCGCCCCGGGGCGCGCGGCGGTTTCCCCCCGTCGGTTCCCTCCCGTCGCCTGCTGCAGCTCGCCCGTCGCCTGCAGCAGACCCCCCCGTCGCCCCCGCTGCCCCGTCGCGGCGCCCTGGGAAGCGCGCGCGACGCCTGCTGCCCCGTCGCGGTGCCCTTGGGAGCCGTGCGCGGCCCCCCCTGCTCGTCGCGGAGCCCTGGGGGGCCATGCGCGGCCCCGCTGCCTCGTCGCGGCGCCCTGGGGAGCCGCGCGCGACCCCGCAGCCACGTCGCGGCGCCCTGGGGAGCCGCGCGCGACCCCCCGCTGCCCCGTCGCGGCGCCCTGGGGAGCCGCGCGCGACCCCCCCACCCGCTGCCCCGTCGCGTTTCCCTAGGGAGCCGCGCGCCCTCCCCCGAATCGCCCCCGAATCGCCCCTCCCCCCCCTCCCATTCTGCCTCTTTTAGGGTTTGGGGGGTGGCGAGTGTGGGGGTGGCGCCTATGGGGGTGCTGGCTGTGTGCTCCGTCCCCTGCTCCTCCTCCTCCTCCGTCTCCCGCTGCTGCAGCTGCCGCTGAGGGGGGTGGGTGTGTGGGAGCCGAAGGAGTGGTGCTAGGGGGGTGACGTGGGAGTGGAGCTAGGGTTCCAGCAGGGGGTGTGTGAGAGGGGGGTGGGACGGTCGGGGGAGGTTGAGCGGAGGCTGCCGTCTTGTCGTCAGCAGCACCTGTAGTCCGGGGCGCTGTTCCGGTAGCCCAGTCGTAGCCAGCTGCGCCAGTCGCCCGTGGGTCCGTTGCTCGTCTGCCGCACTTAGCCGCGGAGCCAGTTACTCCTGTATTCCGGGGCGCTGTTCCGGTAGCCACTGTGCCAGTTTGACTCCTGTTGCCCGTGTGTCTGCAACTTCAGTCGTCGCCTCTTATCTCCTCTCCTCCTACAGTCTCGCCTCCTCCTCCTCACTTGCCCTTTGCTCTAGTTTTACTTACCTTTGTGAACTCCTGCTCTATACCTGCTTGCTCATTGTACTGATTACACCCCACTTTGGCTATGGGGGTGTGTCAGAATGTTATTCTCTAGCCTGTAGTGGGGTGCTCTATAGCGAGTACAACCCATCTAGGGTTTGCTATATTTATCTTCATTGCTGCTAGTGAAACCCCTCTTTTGCCTAAACTTTCTCTTGCCTAGCTAGGGTTCTCCTAGCTATGGCTCCTCATTCTACCTACTGCTTTCACAGTCCACTCTTGTTTTAAGGTGACTCTCTGCACCGAGCACGAGGGTGTCATTACACCTAGTCCTCGATGGTCGCACAACCCCTTCCCTTTTTTCCATACCGTAGGTACCCTGTATGGTTTTTGACTTGATACGACGGACACCCCGAGTTTGCAGGACTAATAACAGACAACCGGCAGGTAGTCTCTAGAACGAAACTCGGGTGTTCTGAGTGAAAGATTTAGTTATGTTTGGGTTGCCTTTTATATTCTTGGTGCACCGCGTCAATTCCCAAACCGGTGCACCCCGTTAAGTACGTCGGAACCTCTTCGAGGGCTTTCCTAAACGTCGGTAACTACCCTGCGATAACATTTAAACTAGGGTGAGTACCCCAGGGGGTGGGATTAAAGGGTGTGAAAGTATCGAGGATAAGGTGTGCGCAAAGTGCTCAAGCTGATGTGGGGCAAAAAAGGTAACACAAAGGCCAATCATTCAGAGGAACAAAACTACGTCAGCCGGGAATCGAACCCGGATCTTTTGCTTGGAAGGCAAATATCCTAACCATTGGACTACTGACGTGCGTGAGTTGATCAATAGGTTTATATTGGTCATTTTTGTTTTGCGGTTATTCTTCTCACATTTCGGCTCGTGTGTGGTTCGAAGAAAGTAGAATCTTCTTCCAAGGGCATTTTTCCATATCTCGTGCCGGACAGGTAATGTTCTTCCATGTGCAGCTTGTGTTCTTCCAAGTCAGAACTCCACAGACTATTACGGTGTGCCAAATACCTTCCGCGGTGTATTCTCCCAGCCAAAAACTCAAACGAAAGAGGTGGCATCGCCTGCCTTGTTTCAATCCCTCACACCAGCCTTTATACCCCCTGCAAAATTTGCCCTCGAATCAGCAAGCGCCATAGGGTGTGCACTAACATTACACCCAAAAGCCCCCCCAGGAATGTGCACCCTTGCTATGTGTTTCGGTGGGCAGGGAGGGATATACCTAAACAGCCGTTCAAAAAGTGTAACACGAAAGGGGGTTCTCCTTTTCCTTCACATTCGCCTTTACCAAACCAAGCCGTCCAACCAACCAGTGACAGTGCGAAGGAGCAACCAAGAAGCCCAGCAGCCAACCACCTCACTTGCCGCGAACCTGTGATCCACTCGGCAACCCCTAGGCTAGTGCTGTAACGACGTGCATATTTAGGTCTAGAGGTTTGCTCTACGACGCGTCCTAGTTACGTGAACTGATCACTTCGTTCTTTCTCCCCGAGACAAGATTCGTTCAGGCGTCCTAGTTACGCGAAGAAATAATTGTTTCTTCGACTCCTCTGCAATGGCGTCCGAGGAGTGTGCAACACGGCCGGAAAGTAGTCCAAGCACCAAGGATGGCAAGTCGAGGCTGCGATTCGACGAGAGCGTCACCGTGATTTACGGAACCGGGGAAACCGAGATTGAGACGCTTCACGTTCCAGAAGACTCCTCCTCCGCCTCTGGTGCGGAGCCTCGCGAGGCCGCGAGTAGTCAATCGGATGGAGCCTTCCGGGACGAAGCAGACGGCTCTTCTGAAAGCCATGGCCAACAAGCCGCAGCGGCGTTCGGAATGCGTCACGGGGAGGCGGAAGGCGATGACCTCGCGGATGACTTTGATTATTTAGATCTGGAGGATCTGGAGCAGACGTGGCCGGAGCGGAGGGAGAGCATTCTGGGCACGCGATGCGGATCGCCCAAGGGCGCCACGGAGATCGGAATAATGCGGTCGGATGCGATTAGGTTCGGCGGCCCTCGCGAGTCGCTGAAATCTTGGACACCGCAACCACGCGCGTGACGCCTACCGGGTGCACTTACTTCTGGTTTAGTTCAGCCACGCTCTTCCTTTTCAGATTTCACAAGTCTCTCCCCGGAGGCGCCCTCCATTTCTGCTTCTTTTTTCTTTTCCTTTTTCCCCGTGTATTTCTGCTTCGCTGCGCTCGGGCGTCGCCGAGTCACGCGCCGGCCCGTCGTTTCTGGCTAACTGGCTTCCTCGGTATAGGCAAGATCCTGCGGTCAGAAAAGGAGAAAAAGGTGGAGGATAGGGACGTGTTGTGGCGGCGATTGTAGCAGCGACAGGGGTGCCGGTGGTCGTTTCTTCTGTGGTGCTCTGTTGCTGGTGACTCAAAAGTCGCAGCGAGAGGGGTTCTGGTGGTCGCTTCTCCGTGGTGCTTAGTTGCCGAATGCTGAGTTGGCTCGCGACGCTCGTGGTGCTCTCCAATGGCTCCCCTTAAATGAGCAGGCAGCGCATGGCGAGGCGGCATGGCAGGCGGCCCCGCTTAGCCAGTGCTTTTCAAGGGCGAATGTCTGCTGCTCTGCTCCTTGCATGCCTCTGCTGGGGCTGGGGCTGGGGCTGGGGCTGGGGCTGGGGCTGGGGCTGGGGCTGGGGCTGGGGCTGTGGCTGTGGCTGTGGCTGGAGCTGTGGCTGTGGATGGGGCAGGGGCAGGGGCTGGGGCTGGGGCTGGGGCTGCTCACATGGCATTGCTGTGCTGTGCGCTGTACATTGTGCGGGACATTGAGGTGTAGCACCGTAGAATGTTGTCATGACTCGTGATGGTTACACCCACTCGTGAGGGTTACACCCACCTAGTTCAGGTTGCGGCTAGCCTGATGTATGTGCTGCTGCATTTGCTGATGCATTTGCTGCTGCATTTCCCGTTGCATGTGCCTGCTGCTAGCATCGGTTTCTCTTGCACTGACTATGCCCTCGCTTGGTTGTAACACCCATGGTCCCTCAGTCTGCATGCTGGAAGCGGAGGGTAGGAAAAGGGTTATAGATGAATAAGTTATTTTTACATGATGCTAGAATACCATAGGCAGTGGCTTGATGTCAAGTAAGCTGGCTTTAGGTGGCATTAGGTGGAAAGGGAATACAGATAACAGAACGTTCTAAAGTTCAGACAGAGGACATTGCCAGGGTACACATTAACGTGAACACTGAAGAGCTAATATTAACCAAATTTTCTCAGTATCACTCACCATCACCATCATTCTCCCCTCATCACCGTTATCTCCCCCACGGGAATTTCACACCGCCGCCTCGTTTCCCCTCTGCCTCCCCCCCAGCCTGCTGCCCTGCCACCGGCCGTGCCGCAGCAGCAGCACCTGCTGCCGTCACATGCCGACTCACAAGGGCTGGCAGGGGCGCCTTGAGCGGGTAAGGCACCTGCAGGGGCGGTGGGATGTGCATGCTCCAACTCCCTGCCTGCATCTCCCTTGCCTCCTCATGTGCTGCCTCTGTTTCCTCTCTCTGCCTGCCCTCCCTGCCTTGCTCATGTGCTGCTGCACCTTCCAGTTGCCTTATTGTCCCCTCTGCTGTTTGAAAGCCAGCATCAGTATCTTTCTGCTTCTGCTGGTCGTCTGCTATGCCGATTTCCCTGCTGCTGCTGCTACTACTGCTGCTGTTGCTGCTGCTGCTGCTGCTGCTGCTGCTGCTGCTGCTGCTGCTGCTGCTGCTGCTGCTGCTGCTGCTGCTGCTGCTGCTGCTGCTGCTGCTGCTGCTGCTGCTGCTGCTGCTGCTGCTGCTGCTGCTGCTGCTGCTGCTGCTGCTGCTGCTGCTGCTGCTGCTGCTGCTGCTGCTGCTGCTGCTGCTGCTGCTGCTGCTGCTGCTGCTGCTGCTGCTGCTGCTGCTGCTGCTGCTGCTGCTGCTGCTGCTGCTGCTGCTGCTGCTGCTGCTACTGCTGTTGTTGCTGCTGTGGTTGCAGCTGCTGCTGTTGCTGCCGCCACTGTTACTGCTGCTGCTGTCGCTACCACTGCTACTGCTGCTACCACTGGTGTTGCTATCAGAGTGTGCAGGCGGCAGGCCCTTGAAGAGCATCGTGGTGGTCTGCAGGCGGTCGAAACGGAACCCAGACTGCCACACAAACAACCTGCAGACACAAAAGAAAAGCATGGGTTCCTCTCATGCATGACCCACGGGTTCCTCTCATGCATGACCCACGGGTTCCTCTCATGCATGCAGATACAGCAGCAATAATCATGGTAAAAGGCAGCCATAGCAGTTGTAGCAGCACTCATGGTACAATGCAGCGGTGGCAACTGTAGCAGCGGTGACATGGGTAGCAGCGATAGCATCAGTGGCAGCAGTAGCAGGTGTAGCAAACTCACCGCTGGTTGGGCCACACCACAGCAGAGATATCCCCTATGCCCCGCGACAGGAGCTCCCTGGGAGTGAGCATGGTGGCATGGCAGGAAGAGAGGAGAATAGTAAGAGAGGAGAAAAAGAGCAGAAGTCGAGAATAGAAAGAGAGGGGAATTGGAAAGGAGGATCACATTCATTGATGCGAAAACAGATACGCGGATGGGCCATGGAGACTTCTATAAGACAGCCCGTTCACAGCCTTACAAGCCAGAACCAGGTCCTAGGCTCTTTCTGGCACATCAGCCTGGGCACATCAGCCTGAGCACATCAGCCTGAGCACACCAGCCTGGAAATTCACCTGAGGATTCTCTGCAGCACCCTGGTGCCGAGGCCACGGCCCCTGTATATTGGTGCAACCTAACATGGTGGAGAGCGGTGGGGTGGAGTGTCAGGGTACGGGATGAGATGCAGAGAAAGAAAAATGAGTAATATAGTCACTGTGCTGTGATGAAAATTTGATAACATGATACGGTATCAGCTGGTATCAAATGGTATAAGATGGTATCAAATGGTATCAAATGGCATCAGACGGTATCAGACGTTATCAGACAGGATCAGACGGGATCAGACGGGATTAGAGGGCATCAGATGGCATTAGATGGTATCAGATGATATCTCGGATGACATCGGCTGGCATCGAATGGCATCGGATGGCATCGGATGGCATTGGATGGCATTGGATGGTATCAGATGGCATCAGATGGTATCAAATGGTAAGCAAATTTTAAAGGAGAGCACACATTCCGTTATGCTGTGTGTACAGCATTCGATGAACCACACCCAGAAGCAATAGATGAAACGCTCCCTGGAGATGAAACGCACCCAGGAGATGAAACGCACCCAGGAGAAGAAACGTACCGCAATGTCATGCACGGCGGCAGTGAGCGTGCCATCGGAGTACGCCCGCCCGAACGCCACGAGCCTCTTGCCCTCCACACTCCTCCTCGCCTCCTCCACCTGCCTCGCCCTCCTCCTCCTCGCCCACTTGCTCAGCCCCCTCCTCTTGATCCCCTTGCCTCCACTGCTCATACCCTTGCTTGCCATGTCATCTTCACTAGTGGTGGTGGTGGTGCTGCTGCCGCTGCTGCTGCTGCTGTCACTATCGCTTTCACCGTCACTACCACTGCTGTCACCTGCACTGTCTGCCGCACTGCCCTTGCTCTCCTTCCACTCCCCCACCTCCTCTTTCCCCACCTTCTCCCCCTCATCCTCCACCACCTCCTCGCCCTCCTCCGTGAAATAGTCCTCTGAGAGCTCTTCCTTCTTCACGTACAGACCTACTGTCACTGTGCTGCACCCGTGGACACGAGGGGTATGACAGAGGGTTATGACGTGGACAGTAGGGGTATGACGTGGACAGTAGGGGTATGACGTGGACAGTAGGGGGTATGACGTGGACAGTAGGGGTATGACGTGGACAGAGGGTTATGACGTGGACAGAGGGCTATGACGTGGAGAGCAGGGTTATGACGTGCAAAACAGGATAGTATAAGAAAGAAGGGCTCACATTCCCTCATCTCGCTTTCCCTCATCTCGCTTTCCCTCATCTCGCTTTCCCTCATCTCCCCATCTCCCATCCTCACCCCTCTCCTGCCTCACCTCGTATCCAGCGCTCTCCTCATCTTTGCAGCGTCGGCCCACCAAACTCCCCACCGGTCCACGGGCACACGAGCCAAGTTCACGTTCCACTCAAGCCTCTCAAAAGCCAGCCCTCATCCCCTCACCTCTTATCCAGCGCTCTCCTCATCTTAGCAGCGTCGGCCCGAGCCACCCTCCGCTGGTCCACTGGCACACGAGCCACGTTCACGTTGCGAGGCACCGGGCGGCCGTCGGGCGGCGACTCGGGCGGCAGCAGGGTGGGAAAGAGCTGTCCGTTCTGCCCAGATGCTGCCAGCAGCGCCGCCACCTGACCGCGCTCGTCCATAGCTGCCGCCTCCGTGATTATAGTGAGGGGCGGAATGCGCAGGGCTGATAGAGGGGGAATAGGAAGGAGGGGGGAAGGCAGGGTTGTTCGTGGGGGGGTTGAAAGGGAAGGAAGGGAGGAGAGGGTGAGGGAGGGAGGAGAGGGTGAGGGAGGGAGGAGAGGGTGAGGGAGGGGGAACGCAGGGCGTTCGTCCATGGCTGCTGCCTCCGTGACTATAGTGAGGGGCGGGAGCAGGACTGAAGCAGCACCACCGGCATTGAGGGTTTTGAGGGGGGATAAGGAAGAAGGGAGGAGAAGAGTGGAAGGTGGCGGACGCGGAATGGGGGGTGGGCGAGATGGGGGAAGAGGGTGTGGGGTATAATAGGGGAAGTCTATACAATTTCTTATGCGCAAGCTGACATGATCAAGAGAGGAGGCTGGTGGGGGCGAGGGACGTGTGGGCGAGGTGTGGGCGGGCGGGGGGACGACCTCTAATCTCGAGGGCCAGATTACCCTTCCCCCCTGTTAAAATCCCACCCCTGTGGGCTGCGCGTGTCCCCTCTCCGAAGCTTCTCAGAATCGTCGCTCACCCGTTTGGGAGGAGAACAGCTGGCACCGCGTGTCCCTGCGAGGCGACCCGGATGACCCGCCCCTCCCATGCCCGTCCCAAGGCGACCCGCCCCTCGCCGCGCCGCCAAACGTCGAGGCGCCCCGCGTCGAGGCGCCCTGCGTCGAGGCGCCGCCCTGCCGCAAGTCACGGACCCCCGACGCCAGCAGGCGCCCCGCCGCGTCCGACCTATGAGGGCTCGCCTGCACGCCACGTAGGCGCGGATGGGCGACACGTGGGCTCGCCTGCATGCCACGCTGGCACGAGAGCGGCGCTGGGAAGGGCGGTGCGGTTGCGAAAAGGCCCGACTGTTGCTCGTTCCGCGAATAACGGTCGCTGAATGGAAGTGGCCGATTCAGGAGGCGGGGCGAGCTCCAGCCACGTGCCAAGCACGTGGCATGCGCGTGCCAATCGTGTGCATTCCCAGCCCGTCGTGGCTGCAAGGACGCGAGCCGTCGTTGTTGACTGTATCGGCGCTGTTCCTGCTGTTGCTGCTGCAGGTGCTGCTGGTGCTGCTGCTGCTGCTGGTGCTGGTGCTGCTGGAGGTGCTGCTGGGGGCAGTGATGGCACCTAATCAGCAACGCAGGGGCGACGGCCGGATTCCAAGGTGGCGACGAGTGGCACGCGGCGCGGGGACAGCGAGGCAGCGAGGCGGCATGAGGGGAAGTGATTGCGGAAGCCATACCCATTACAAAGGCTCGTACGCACGTGACTAACTGAGCGACGGCACAGATGTGCGAGCCGTGTAGAACTAAGATTGCTCTACAAGTAATGTCGACTAGCTGGCGGCATAGACAATGTAACAATTGTCGCTAAGCCATCCACGAACTTTGCCTAGACATCCGCCTAGACTGCCAGCAAGGCAGAGCTTTCTGGGTCAGTTGAAAGCATCTAGGGACCACCAAAACCGGACCGGCCTGTCAGAAAAAAGCTAATTTCGACTCGCGACGGCGTTGGTTGTGAGTGAAGGTGGAAGCGGAGTGAGGTGAGACGACAGAAGGTTCTCCTCCGACTGTGGAGGAGTGATTCGTTAGGGGAAACTCGATATCGTACAAGGCGAAGCAGATTTGCATTTGTATAGCCAATCTAAACTGCATATCAGAAGTGAAGGTATCGCAATTGTCCGAAACAATTGTGCCAGCGAATACAAAACTGTATGAAATGACACTGGAATCTTCTGTTCCCAAGGGAAGCTGAAATTGGGCTGTACGTGGCGGCGCGCTGCAGGCTGACGATGATTGAGCCTTTGTGGAGTTTGCGCCTCCCGTCCCACCTTGCACGTGACCAGACAGAAGTCACCGACAGCAGCAATCTAGGCCGTCAAATCAATACTGCGTCAACACGTAAGCCAATCTTGTCCGTCTATTTACATCGGAATCCCGACAAAATCGAACCTGATTACGGATCCATGTCATCATCTCGTCCAACGTGACACTTGACAGGTGAAATTTCTCAGCTGCTCCAATTGAAATTTGTCGTGTCCATCGTCCTAAACGCTGATGTGTAGTTCCACAAATGAGGAGCAGCTACTAGCATTCCCATTCCGAATTCACTCTCCAAACGTTCTCAAAAGTAGGAACCAAGCAGCGAACAGTCGCGCGTCGTTAGGAAGCTATTCGCGGATCGACCGCGTGACTAGTATCTGGAAGCATCGACCTCCTCATGCCAGCCGCTCCTCCATCCACTCGCGCGCCCTCGCCTGCTCCACCCGCGCCGCGCCATACACCATGTCGCGTTCTCTCTTCTCGCACGCTCTACCTCCCTGCCTGCCGCGATTCACGCCCAGCACGCCGCTCAGTCAGCACCACAACGGCAGCGCACTTCAACGTCAGCCCTTACTAGATCCGTCCCCGCGTCGCTCTCGCCATTCCCTTCGCGTCTCAGCGTCCCCCTTGCAGCCGTCGCTCTCGCCGTTCCCATCCGCTCTCCGCAACTCGAACCAATCCAACGGTCACCGCCACAGTCTCCGTTCCCGCTGGTCCCTTCTCGCCATTCCTTCGCGAATTTGTAGCGGGACTCGCGAATATGACACTCGCCGCGCGGTCGCAGCCGCGTCGCACGGCGGCGACGGAGCAAAGGAGTCGGTCGGCGGCGAGCGCGTGACGACGCCTGTTGTAACGAGCGGCGACACAAATACGAGCAGCGGGGAATTTAGTTACAAGACTAGGGGCGGTGACAGTAGCGACAGTAGCACAGCGCCAATGGACCATGAAGGAAGTTCTTCATATCCATCCCCGCTTCAAGCGTCCTCTCCACAAGCACCAACCGTCGACCCTCGCCCGGGTCCCACAAACGATCCCGCCAGTCCCTCCCCCATTTCCGCCATCTCCCCGCCCACTTCCGCCTCGCTTCCTCCGCCCAGCTTCCCCGCGTGGTACTTCTCCCCGCGCCACGTGGCAGCTTACTACAGGGTAAACCTCGACACGGGCCTCTCCGAATCCGACGTGGCGCGGCGGCGCGCAGCGCACGGGTGGAACGAGCTAGACCGACCAGCGGGCACACCGTTCTGGGACCTAGTCTTAGACCAGCTTAACGACACATTAGTTAGAATCCTCGTCGCCGCCGCCGTGGTCTCGCTCGCGCTGGCGGTTGCGGAGCAGGGCGGGGGGGTGGGCGCGGGAGGCGCAGGGGGAGGCGGAGGCGGAGGGGGACTGGCGGGGTACACGGAGCCGGTGGTGATCGTGGCGATCGTGGTGCTGAACGCGCTGATCGGCGTGTGGCAGCAGGTGCAGGCGGAGCAGTCGCTGCAGGTGAGGGCATGGTGGCAGGGGAGGGCGAGGCGGGCCCTTACTGCCTGGTTGGCTGCTGGCTGGATGTTTCAAGGTGGATGGTTCGGATGAGTCTGAATGAGTTTGCAACTTGTCAGAATAGAATGAGTGTTTGGACCAATCCTGTTATTTCATTATGATTCTGCGTGAAGCTGAATGCATTCGGATAATCCACTGCTTGGAGACACAGCCTGGTGCATGTGGAATGCCCAACACAACACAACACAACACAACATGATGCACCGACAAAGAGTGAACCCACCAATCATGGATGGGCTGGACCGGGTCTCTCTGTTCCTGTACCCCAGCTCTGCCGCCCTCCTCCCTCATCCTTCCCCCCTCCTCCTCCCGCCTCTCCGCTTCCCCCTCCTTCCCCCCCCACGCCCACATGCGTTCCCCATGTCTCCCCCCTCCTCCCCACAGGCGCTGAAGGAGCTGCAGCCGCAGACAGCACGAGTGCGGCGGGGTGCTGCGCGTGGCGCACCTATGGAGGGGGGTCGTGAGGCGCAGGGTCATCACGGCCGGGACAGTGACAGTGACAATGACGGGCCAGCAGCGAGATCAGAAGCAGCGCCGCTTGTAACACCAGGGCAGGTGGTAACCCCATCAGCAGCAGCAGCAGCAGCAGCAGCAGCGCCATTTGTGACAGTGCCGGCGAGAGAGTTGGTGCCGGGGGATGTGGTGGAGGTGCGGGCAGGCGACCGCGTTGCAGCAGACATGCGCATCGTTGCGGTGGTGAGCGGTTGTGTGCGGCTCAATGAGTCCACGCTCACTGGGGAGAGCGAGCCCCAGGTGAAGCAGACCGAACGGGTGGCGCGGAGGCAAGAAGGAGGAGAAGAGAGTGTGGAGGAAAGTCGGTGGGACAGCAGTAGCAGCAGCAGCAGCGATGATGATCTGACAGTTGTGAGGACAGTCCAGTCAAACGCCAACGTGGCACTTGCTGGTGGTGGGAGCAGCGAGGAGGAGGCAGCAGCGCAGCAGGCTAGGTGGGACGGCAGCAGTGGCAGCAGCAGCAGTGACGGCAGTAGCAGCAACAGCAGCAGCGATGGTCTGGAGATCCAGGGAAAGGCGAACATGGCGTTTGCAGGAACAACAGCAGCAAGCGGGTCGTTCATTGGCGTGGTGGTGGCAACAGGCATGGCCACTGAGGTGGGGCGCATACAGGCGCAGATCACAGCGGCAGCAGCGGAGGAGGCGGCATATGACACGCCGCTGTCGCGCCGCCTGGATGAGTTTTCGACCGCGCTGACCCAGGCTGTGGGCGCCATGTGCGTGGTGCTTTGGGCGGTGAATTTCGACCGGTTTGTGGCGTGGGACGCGGTGGGGCGGACTCTTGTGTTTAATGCGCAGCAGGCCACGTTCTATTTCAAGGTAACGCATGGTGCTGTGGTTTGTGGTGCAGTTTGCGGGGGTGAGGGGCGATGAGTCACCCAGCCCGTGGGCGCTGTGCGTCCAGATTCTTCCGACCCATGCACTGACAACGGGCGGCAGTGGTGTTGCTTGTAGCAGGCAACTCCCAAGGGCCTGCCAGCGGTCATGACCACGTGCCTCTCTGGCATGACCACGTGCCTGTCTGGCATGACCACGTGCCTATCTGGCATGACCACGTGCCTGTCTGGCATGACCACGTGCCTGTCTGGCATGACCACGTGCCTGTCTGGCATGACCATGTGCCTGTCTGGCATGACCACGTGCCTCTCTGGCATGACCACGTGCCTCTCTGGCATGACCACGTGCCTCTCTGGCATGACCACGTGCCTCTCTGGCACTGGGCATACGGCGCATGGCAGAGGCCAACTGTATCGTCCTCTGCTTGTTGTCGTGTGACAGGCTGTGTCCTGGTTGCATTCTCCCATCCCACCCCACGTGCCTGCCTCTGGGCACACGGTGCATGGCAGAGGCACACGGTGCATGGCAGAGGCACACGGTGCATGACAGAGGCACACGGTGCATGGCAGAGGCACACGCTGCATGGCAGAGGCACACGGTGCATGGCAGAGGCACACGGTGCATGGCAGAGGCACACGGTGCATGGCAGAGGTACACAGTGCATGGCAGAGGCACACGGTGCATGGCAGAGGCACACGGTGCATGGCAGAGGCACACGGTGCATGGCAGAGGCATTAACTATAGTTCGACGCTTGCTGTTCGTTGAGACAAACCTTGGCTGTGCCGCGGCCATTACTCAAGCACAACGTCTCACCTGTTTAAACCCGAACCCTGAATTTGGGCCCTAGTTCAAGCTCTTAAACCCCCGCTCAACAGGAAGCAGTGGCGCTATTGGCTGCAGCAAGAACTCTGAACCCCGAACCCTGACCCTCCTGATCCCAAACCCTGAACATCCTGAACCCTGGTACTTGAATTCCAATCCCTGAACAGGAAGCAGTGGCGTTAGCAGTAGCTGCAATCCCCGAGGGGCTACCAGCACTGATCACCACGTGTCTGGCGGTAGCAGCTGTAAACCTTAAACCCTAAACCCTGAACCCTTGTCCTTGCACCCCAACCCAATCCCTGAACAGGAAGCAGTGGCATTAGCAGTGGCAGCAATTCCTGAGGGGCTACCAGCAGTGATTACCACGTGCCTGGCTGTAGCAGCTGTAAACCCTAAACCCTGAACCCTGGCCCTTGCACCCCAACCCAATCCCTGAGCAGGAAGCAGTGGCGTTAGCAGTGGCAGCGATTCCCGAGGGGCTACCAGCAGTGATCACCACGTGTCTGGCGCTGGGCACGCGGCGCATGGCAGAGGCGCACGCTATAGTCCGACGCTTGCCGTCCGTTGAGACGCTCGGTTGCACCACGGTTATTTGCTCAGATAAGACCGGCACGCTCACGACCAATCAGATGGCGGCTGCCAGCCTGGCGGTGCCACGTGGCGCTGACGGGGACGTGCGGTGGTATGACGTGTCAGGGACCACGTATGACCCGGGGGATGGGGAGGTGGTGGGGTGGAGAGGGGGAGGGCGAGGGGGAGGTAAGGAAGGAGGAGGGAGAGCAGGAGGAGGAGGAGGGGGAGGAGGAAGTGAATTTATTTTGAGTGAGGGGGGTTGGAGTGGAGAGGCGGGAGTGTGTAGTGTGGCGGGCATCAGTGCGCTGTGCAACGACAGTAGCATCACCGTTACCAAGGGGCGGTACGGCTGCTCTGGCATGCCCACTGAGGCCGCTCTTAAGGTGAGAGGGCGCTCAAGGTGGGTGCGCGAGGAGGTGAGGGACGGTGTGGTAAGGCAGAGTGGGATGGGGGTGAATGTTAGATCGATGCAGTTCCGCTGCTCTGGCATGCCCACCGAGGCCACTCTTAAGGTGAGGGGGGGCCGTGTGACAGCTCGGTGAAAAGGAAGCTAGTGAGGTGGTGGAGTGAGGTGAGGTGAGGTGAGGTGAGGTGAGGTGAGACCCCTAAGGGAGGTGTTCTGACATGCCCTCTGAGGCCACGCTTGAGGTGAGGGATCACAGGTGTAGTCACAGTGTGTGTCAGTGAGGTGCGACTGGAGCGATCGGAGGTGTGCTCCTGTGAGTGAGGGGTCATGTGTCAGCATGGTGAAGGGGAAGTGAAGGCACAGTCAATATGAGGGCATCGTGATGATCTAGGGTGAGGTCAAAGTGAGGTCAAAGTGAGGTCAAAGTGAGGAATCATCACAGTGATGATGCCTCACATGAGAATGAGGGTTGGGTTTCCGTAGAATCACAGTGAAGCAGAGGCAGTACAATTTCTTGTACCAATGGTGGTAGCGCATGTGCACGGTCAAACAAGACTGGTGCTTTTCAAAAAGAAGAGAAAAGAAGGAAAGAAAGAAAGAAAATATACAGAAACTGCTGTTTGTCCCCAATTCCCCACATGCAGGTGCTGCCAGAGAATCTGGGCGTTCGGAGCACATGAGAGCATGCACGATACTTGAGAGAGAAGCAGTTTAATATTTGTCCTTGCGTCGCGCATGCATGCAGGTGCTGGCAGAGAAGCTGGGCGTGCCGAGCGAGGAGCAGCAGGAGCGGATAGAGGCGGCTCGCAGGGCCGGTGGGGTGGCAAGTGGGGAGGAGGGCTCCCTGAGCCTGGCGAGCACATACTGGGAGCAGCGGTGGGCGCGCGTGTGCACTCTGGAGTTCGACCGCCTCCGCAAGTCCATGAGCGTCATTGTCACGCCCCCAGGGGGGGGGCACGGCTTGCCAATGCAGCAGCGCCAGGCAATGGCACTTGGGGTGGGTGCGGCTGTAGGAGAGCCTGGAGGAGTGGGGATGGGTGCCGTCGTGAGGGAGGGCGTGGCAGTAAGGGAGGACAGCAGAACCCCTGGAGGGAAGGGAGAGGAGGGGTTGTGCGGGGCAGGCAACCTGCTGTTGGTGAAGGGAGCAGCGGAGTGCGTGCTCAACCGCTGCTCCTCGCTGCAGCTCCCCTCGGGCGCTGTTGTTCCCCTCTCCCCCCCCGCACGCACCCGTCTGGCCCACAGCATCGCAGCCATGGCTTCCCAGGGCCTCCGCGTGCTGGCCTTCGCCTTTCGAGACAACCTCCCCCCTGCTCTTGCAGGTTTGGGTTTGAAGGGGCGGGATGGGGGCGAGGGGAGCGAGGGAGCAGGTGAAGGGGCTGGTGGGGATGGAAGAGAAGTGACGGGGAGTGGGGAGGGGTGGAGTGAGGAGGTGCGGCGGTGGGTGGAGGATGGGAGCCGGTACGAGGAGATAGAGAGCGAGCTGACGTTTGTGGGGCTGGTGGGGATCCGTGACCCGCCCAGGCCGGAGGTGTCGGGGGCGATAGCAGCGTGCACGAGTGCGGGCATGCGCGTGATTGTCATCACTGGGGACTCGGGCGCCACTGCTGATGCTGTGGCGCAGCAGATCGGGCTGTTTGGGCGCGGTGGTGAGGAGAGTCACGGTGGCTCGCATGCTGCTGACCCGTATCCTGCCAAGCATTCGTATGCGGCGGCGGAGTTTGTTCGGCTGCCAGAAAAGGAGCAGCTGAGGATTCTGGCAGGAAGGCCGGAGGGGACAGCAGGCATAGGCGGGGATAGAAGCAGTGGAAGGGCGAGGGGCGGCAATCTGGTGTTCTGGCGGGCGGAGCCGGCGCACAAGCAGGCGATCGTGAGGGCGCTGAGAGCGCAGGGCGAGGTGGTGGCCATGACGGGCGATGGCGTGAACGATGCCCCTGCTCTCAAGCTGGCGGACATTGGGATTGCCATGGGCGCCACTGGCACCGAGGTGGGTGGGGGGGAGGATTCCAATGGCTGATAGATGGGCACAGATGTAGGTGGCGGTGGTGTTGGTTGGTGGGGTGCATGATGCCCCTGCTCTCAAGCTGGCGGACATTGGGATTGCCATGGGCGCCACTGGCACCGAGGTGGGTGGGGGGGAGGATTCCAATGGCTGATAGATGGGCACAGATGTAGGTGGCGGTGGTGTTGGTTGGTGGGGTGCATGATGCCCCTGCTCTCAAGCTGGCTGACATTGGGATTGCCATGGGCGCCACTGGCACCGAGGTGGGTGGGGGGGAGGATTCCAATGGCTGATAGATGGGCACAGATGTAGGTGGCGGTGGTGTTGGTTGGTGGGGTGCATGATGCCCCTGCTCTCAAGCTGGCGGACATTGGGATTGCCATGGGCGCCACTGGCACCGAGGTGGGTGAGGGGGAGGATTCCAATGGCTGATAGATGGGCACAGATGTAGGTGGCGGTGGTGTTGGTTGGTGGGGTGCATGATGCCCCTGCTCTCAAGCTGGCGGACATTGGGATTGCCATGGGCGCCACTGGCACCGAGGTGGGTGGGGGGGAGGATTCCAATGGCTGATAGATGGGTGGCGGTGGTGTTGGTTGGTGGGGTGCATGATGCCCCTGCTGTCAAGCTGGCGGACATTGGGATTGCCATGGGCGCCACTGGCACCGAGGTGGGTGGGGGGGAGGATTCCAATGGCTGATAGATGGGCACAGATGTAGGTGGCGGTGGTGTTGGTTGGTGGGGTGCATGATGCCCCTGCTCTCAAGCTGGCGGACATTGGGATTGCCATGGGCGCCACTGGCACCGAGGTGAGGGGTGGTGGGTGGTGGTGAGGCAGAGAGGTGGGTGGGGAGGGGTGGTGATTGTTGAAAATGCTCTGTGACTAATGAGTGAGGCAACTTGGGATTGCCATGGGCGCTGCTGGCACTGAGGTGGGTGGGGAGGGGTGGAGATGGCAAAGAGTTAGAGAGCTTTGGTAAGTGCTGCAACACACACAGAGGTGGTTTGTGGTGGGGCGAATGACACCCCTGCTCTCAAGTTGGCGGACATTGGAGTCGCCATGGGCGCCACACGCACTGAGGTGGGCGGTGCTACCTGCTGAAGGTGGGTGGTGGTGGGTGGTGGTGGGTGGTGGTGGGTGGTGGTGGGTGGTGGTGGGTGGTGGTGGGTGGTGGTGAGGCAGAGAGGTGGGCGGGGAAGGGTGATGATCGTTGAAAGAGGTCCGAGATCAATGAGGAACCTTCGGCTGGTACTGAAGGAAATAAATGCTTTCCTGAGGTGGGTGGAGAGGGGTGAAGAGGGGTGGAGCGGATGGCAATGCGGTGATTGAGATTCCTCAGAATGATGCCCCATCCCCATCCCCATCCCCATCCCCATCCTCAACCCCATTTCCATCCTCACCCCCATCGTCACCCCTATCCCCACCGGCTGCAACACACACATTCACCATGTTATCCCTGCCAACATCACCAGGGTCGTCACCAGCATCCCAGCCTTGGCCCCTCTTCCCCGTACCCCATTCCCCATTCCCCCATCTGCAGGTCGCAAAAGAAGCCGCAGACATGGTCCTAGCGGACGACAACTTCGCCACGATAGTCGAAGCAGTGCGGGAGGGCCGCGCCATATTCGACAACATGCGGGCGTTCATCCGCTACCTCATCTCCTCCAACATCGGCGAGGTCATCGCCATCTTCGCTGCGTCCCTCCTCGGCCTGCCCTCCTCCTCCTTCCTCCTCCCCGTGCAACTCCTCTGGGTCAACCTCGTCGGAGATGGGGCTCCCGCTGTGGCTTTAGGGTTTACTCCGCCTGAGGCTGATGTGATGGCGCGGCCGCCAAGGGAGCGGGAGCAGGGGCTGGTGTCGCCGTGGGTGCTGGTGCGCTTTGGGGTGCTGGGGGCGTATATCGGTGCTGCGACCGTTGGGGTGTTTTCCGTGTGGTTTTTGAATGGGGAGGTGGTGGGAGGGGGGATTGGAGGGGTGGGGATGGGGGTGGGGGCGGTGGAGGAGAGTGTGAGGGGGAAGGAGGGGGTGGGGGCCGGAAATGGTGGGTGGTTTGCGCCATTTGAGTTGGAGAGGGACGGGCATTCGGCTGTGACGTGGGAGCAACTGTCCCACTCCCGAACCTGCTCTGTCTGGTCTGTGCCTGCTGCTGCTAGCGCCGCTTCTGGTGCTCCTGCTGCTACTCTCACCGCCCCTCCTCTTGTAGACCCACCAGCAACCGCAGCAGCAGCAGTCGCAGGAGAGCCAGCAACAGCACCACAATCCCCCTTCAACCCGCACCTCTCCTACGCAGTAGCAGGTGGCGGCACCGTCTCCTTCCCCTCCCCCTGCGACTACTTCACCAGCGGCACGGCCAAGCCATCCACTCTAGCACTCACCACGCTGGTCACCATCGAGATGCTGCTCGCCCTCAGCTCTGTCTCAGAGTACCGCAGTTTGATGCAATCTCCACCGTGGATTAACAAGTGGCTCATCCTGGCCGTCGGTGCGTCCATGGGGCTCCACGTGGCGCTGCTGTACTCGCCGCTGGCGGGCGTGTTTGAGGTGGTGCCGCTGACGTGGCAGGAGTGGGCGCTGGTGGTGGTGTTTTCTCTGCCCGTGCTGTTGGTGGATGAGGGGCTCAAGCTGGTGGGCCGGTGGATCTTCGCACGGCAGAGAGGAGAGACTAGATAGAGGTTCGCGCATTGCATGAAGTTTCAAGCAATGCGTTGACTTACGGTACGATAGGAGGAATGATGTGAGCTGGTTCTTCAAAAAAAGCATTTTCAGCTAGTTGGATGAAAAGGAGAGAAAAAAGGTTTCGTATTACAGTACGTGTTGAATGGCAGCGATTTGAGCCATGCTCAGAGCATGTCACTTGAAGTTTGGACTTCTAAGGACGTGCCTAGAGTTGAAACAATACACTATTTTAAGAAACATTACCGGCATGTGCAAAAAGAACAGAATATACACAGCACGGGCAACAGATTCTGCTCTTTATCAGGCAAACCTCTCAACAGACTCGCATCACCGCAGTGAACCACCCGTAATCAAAAGAAGCACCAGAGCGAAGGACATTGAGCCACACGAGTCCGATAAGAGGTGTGCCTGATAAGAGGCATAGAAACACACCACGCCCTCCCTCCCTTAGCAACCAAACCAAACAAGCATGCACTACTCGGCCGCACAGAGTGGTGCGCTTCTATGGTGCAATACGCAATACACCACATGGCTCCAGATTCTGTACTGTTAGCAACCAAACCAGCATGCACTACTCGGCTGCACGGCCAGCACAGACCGCACGGAGTGCCCCTTGTTGTCCACCCACGTGAGGCTGCCGAACTTGAACGACTGTGAAGCCCACTTCACCACCACAGTCACCGTGTACGTCTTTCGTTGCCCGGGTGCGATCGTAAACCTTGACGGTGACACTTTCACCTTCACTCCGGCAGGTTTCTTGATCTTCACAGTATATGTCGACGTGGTATCCGCGACATTAGTAACAGTCCGAGTGACTGAAGCCTTGTTGTGCACCTTGGGCAGCGAGATGGCTGGCCGGTTCAGATTCTTTGCGGAAACAGCTCTGAGGGAAGCTGTGCCGAACTCACCCTTCGCCCGGTTATAATTCTGCCCAGCGAGAAAGTTTTTGAAGTCCTGCTCCCCGGCATCGTAGGTTAACCCAGGGTTAACCACCCTAGCAGGCACCACATGCCCTGCTCCAATCTCCCACGGCGACGCAGCAGCCCCGTACTCGTTTTTAATCGCCCCGTTACCGGTATTAGTAGTCCGCGCTGTAGTCATCATGGCTGACATGATCTGCGAGGGCGTCCAATCAGGATGCTGCTGGATGATCAGAGCAGCAATGCCAGCGATGTGCGGAGTAGCCATGGACGTCCCTGACAGCGCTTGGAACCCTCCCGAAGAGCCGACAGTCATGCCTGGGGCAGCAGCGTAGAGCTGAACGCCCGGGGCGATGATGTCGGGCTTGAGGATGGTGTTGGAGGGGTAGGCTGCTGGTGTGGCGACTGAGGGCTTGGCGAGTGGGCCGGTGGAGGAGAAGTAGGCGACTACAGGGGCGGCGGTGGCTGCTGGGGAGATGCTGGCTGGGATGCGCGCCCCATTGAGGGTTGACACTGTGGTGGGTGCTGCGAGGGCTGTGGGAGTGGTGGTGTTAAATGGAGTTTCGAGGGTCGAGGCAGCTGATGCAGATGTTGCTGCTGCTGTTGTGGACGAGATGGATGCACTGTTGCGAGAGATGGAGCTGCAGCGTGTGGCCGTTGTGGTGGGTGGTGGGGAGGGTGGGGAGAGAGGCACAGGGGGGGAAGGTGTCATGCGGGGATGAGAAGAGCAGGCGAGGGATGAGAAGAGCAGGCGAGGGATGAGAAGAGCAGGCGAGGGATGAGAAGAGCAGGCGAGGGATGAGAAGAGCAGGCGAGGGATGAGAAGAGCAGGCGAGGGATGAGAAGGGCAGGCGAGGGATGAGAAGAGCAGGCGAGGGATGAGAAGAGCAGGCGATGTCAGGCAATCTTCTTCCCCCTTTCATCTTACCTGGCCTTGTCATGCCTTTTCTTCCCCCTTTCATCTTACCTGGCCTTGTCATGCCTTTTCTTCCCCCTTTCATCTTACCTGGCCTTGTCATGCCTTTTCTTCCCCCTTTCATCTTACCTGGCCTTGTCATGCCTTTTCTTCCCCCTTTCATCTTACCTGGCCTTGTCATGCCTTTTCTTCCCCCTTTCATCTTACCTGGCCTTGTCATGCCTTTTCTTCCCCCTTTCATCTTACCTGGCCTTGTCATGCCTTTTCTTCCCCCTTTCATCTTACCTGGCCTTGTCATGCCTTTTCTTCCCCCTTTCATCTTACCTGGCCTTGTCATGCCTTTTCTTCCCCCTGTCATCTTACCTGGCCTTGTCATGCCTTTTCTTCCCCCTTTCATCTTACCTGGCCTTGTCATGCCTTTTCTTCCCCCTGTCATCTTACCTGGCCTTGTCATGCCTTTTCTTCCCCCTGTCATCTTACCTGGCCTTGTCATGCCTTTTCTTCCCCCTTTCATCTTACCTGGCCTTGTCATGCCTTTTCTTCCCCCTTTCATCTTACCTGGCCTTGTCATGCCTTTTCTTCCCCCTGTCATCTTACGTGGCCCCTGGTGACGAGGTCTTGTGGCAGGCAGGGTGCAGCCTTGGAGTCATGACGTCGTCCTTGCTCTCATCGCTGCCTTTCCACAGCCCTCACCCTTCCTTCCCCTCCTCCTCACCTGGCGCCCACAGTCATGTAGTAGGGCGAGAAGTTGCAGAGCGTGCGATAGCCCGTGGCTGCGAATGCGGATGGGCGGCCCTCGTTGCCCGCTGCAAAGGCCACAAACACCCCCGCCTGTTGTGGGGAGTGGGAAAGGAAAGGAAGGGAGGGGGAAGGGACGTAGGGAGAGGAGCGAAGATGAGAACAGAGAGGAGTGGAGAGAGGAGAGGTGGAGGCCGAAAGCATAGCCCTCCACGTGATTGAACCCTGGAATAATGAGATTCAGGTACCGAGACAGAGGTATAGCACCCACAGTGTTGCCACTCACAGTGTTGCCACCCACAGTGTTGCCACCCACAGTGTTGCCACTCACAGTGTTGCCACCCACAGTGTTGCCACCCACAGTGTTGCCACCCACAGTGTTGCCACCCACAGTGTTGCCACCCACAGTGTTGCCACCCACAGTGTTGCCACCCACAGTGTTGCCACTCACAGTGTTGCCACCCACAGTGTTGCCACCCACAGTGTTGCCACCCACAGTGTTGCCACCCACAGTGTTGCCACCCACAGTGTTGCGACCCACAGTGTTGCGACCCACAGTGTTGCCACTCACAGTGTTGCCACCCACAGTGTTGCCACCCACAGTGTTGCCACCCACAGTGTTGCCACCCAGTGTTGCCACTCACAGTGTTGCCACCCACAGTGTTGCCACCCACAGTGTTGCCACCCACAGTGTTGCCACTCACAGTGTTGCCACTCACAGTGTTGCCACTCACAGTGTTGCCACTCACCGCATTGCCATGAGGAGATACAGGCAAGTCTCATAATGCACGGCCACTCACCGCGGGGACGCTGATGAAGGGCACTGATACAGGTACACCAAGCACTCACCGCACACACAAAGCACTCACTGCCACGGCCACTCACCGCATTGCCACTCACCGCGTGGACGCTGATGAAGGGCACGTCGTCAAAGTAGGTGTCGGTGGGACTGGCGCCGCCCAGCGACAGGCTCAGCACATCCACACCGTCAGCGACGGCCTGATCAACGGCTGAGAAGATGTCTGGGCTGGTGGCGTACATATATCCGTTTGTCTGCCAGAAGACCTTATAAATGGCCAGGCGCGCCCCCGGGGCCATGCCACTGGCTGTTCCCGTGTTGGGAATCGGCACGTTGTTGTTGCCTGCTGCTGCCCTGGAGAGGCGAGAGTGAGGGTGGGTGGGGGCGAGGGGGGAGGGGGAGAGAGTGATGGATGTGGTTGTGGAACACGCATGTGTGGCAGGACATACATCATGCCGCCTGCGAATGATCACCATGCCCCATGCCCTATGCCCCATGCCCCATGCACCATGCCCCATGCACCATGCCCCATGCACCAGGCCCCATGCACCATGCCCCATGCACCATGCCCCATGCACAATACAGCATACACCCCACACACTCACCCCGCACACCACGTGCCATGGCCAGCAGCATCACGTGGCGAGTTCCAGTCACCCGAGAGGTCGAGGGTGGTGCCGCCGCTCTCAAACCCCGCGTGGAAGATCCCCCCTCCGATGATCTTGTTGTTACAAGCGAAGTCGCTTGTAGTGGGACACGTGCCCGCCCACCCGGCAGGGAGCGTGCTGCTGTAGCCCTGGTGGGGACGAGGAGGGGTGGAGGAGTGGAGGGGTAGCGGTGGGTTAGTGGGGTGCTGGGACACGTGCCCTCCATGCACCTCAGGGGTGCTGGGACACGTGCCCTCCATGCACCTCAGGGAGCGTGCTACTGTAGCCCTGCTTCCCAGGAAGGTGGGTAGGCGATACGGTGAGAATGAGGGGGGGCGTGGGGAGGGGAGGAGGGGGAAGGGGAGGACGGGGGTGTGGTGGGGGGAAGGGAGGGGGTGGTTGGGTTGGGAGATGGGGAAGGCTGGTCGGTGGCATGGTGATGGTGGCATGGTGATGGTGGCATGGTGATGGTGGGGAGAACGGGGAGGGCGGAGCGGCGGGCGGGAAAGTGGAGATGGTGGTGGGGAGAAGGAACGGAAATGCAAAAGATTTTATTGCAAAGGGGCGACAGCTGAGGGAAAGAGGGGGAGAAGCGCGGATGGCGACAGCAAGGCGTGACGCAACGTCCTGTCCCGTGTGTCTTCAAACAAGGCATGCTTCAAACGAAGCATGCTGAGGCCACACGCCCGAGTTCACAATGTGAATTTCTGAGGCATAACCTACCGTGTCATCCAAGCATAACCTACCGTGTCATCGAAGGAGGTGTGTTCGGGCCATATGCCGGTGTCCACGATGCCAATCACCGTGCCGTCCCCCGCGCTGCTGGGCCCGCCGGCAGCGGCCCACAATGACCCAGGCAGGCCGAGGAACTTGTACGAGTCGGTGGTGGCGGGGCGCAGCACGCGCGCCTGCGTCACGGACGCCACAGAGGGGTGCCGCCTCATCCGCTGCACCTGCGCTGCCGTGAGCGTCGCTGAGAAACCGTTTGACGCGTGCTTGTAGCTGAAGGGTGGGAGGGCGAGCGGGCAAGGGGAAGCGAGGGCGGGCGCGCAGGGGAGGGAGGGGGGGGATGGGAGTAAACGAGGGGCGTGAGGGTCGCTGAGAAGCCGTTCGACGCGTGGTTGTAGCTGGCACGGCGGAGAGGGAAAGGTGGAAGTGAATGGGGTTGGGGATCGGGAAGGGGGATGGGTGGGCAGGAGGGTCGAGGAAATGGAGGCGGGAGACGGAAGCAGTGGTAGAGAAGGGGAGCAGATGGTTGGTCAGTAATAGAATTCCTCTTCTCCCCACTCACCATCTTCTCACACAATAAAGTCCCCCTCGTTCCCCTCACCTGTAAATCATCTTCCCAGCATCCACCCCGCTGTCTCTCAGCACGGCCTGCTGCATGCGCTGCAGCAGCTGCTTGAACGCCCTCACCCCCGGCGCCCTCACGTTCACCCGCGGCCGCCGCAGCCGACGGCCAAGCCACGATCCTAAACCGCTGGTAGTAGCCGCGCCAGCGGCGGCGGAGGAGGAGGAGGAAACAGAAGCGGCGCTAACGGCACTGGAACCGGCGGTGGTGTCGTCTGCCGTCGCGTCTGTCGCGTTGCCGTTAGGGTCGCTGTCCCAGACGGCCGTTGCCGGGTAGCCAGGAATTCCGCCGCGGTACGACGCGACGGGCGGCGCGGAACGGAGGCGGACGATGTAGAGCGCGGAGACATCGGGGGGGGAGGCTGCGGGCGATGGGGGAAAGGGGTAAGAGAATGCTTTGGAGCGACGCGGCATTACAACACGCCAGTTTGCCGACTCCCTTCGCATGATTCGCTTTCAATGAACCACCAGAAACGTACTCGCTCTAAGTACCTATTCGATATCAGCAACTTTCGCATTACAGTCATTACTTGTCCAGCGGGTCAATAGAATAGTCTGATTTACGAGCGCGGAACATGCGAGACGCTGTGCTCGTACAAGGGAGCGGCGGTGCGCGGCAGCTCGTACCGTGGGTCGGGCGGAGCAGCGGCGCTGCGGATAGCGAGACGAGCAACACGAGGAGGGCAAAACAAGTTCGCGATTCCCGGCGGGTCTGTACGAGGCTGCAGTGCGACCAGCAGTGTGCGCGGCAGTGTGCGCGGTGCGATAGAGGGGAATTTCTTTGGGAATGGTCGAGCGGGAATGGAGGCGGTGGAAGGATACTGGTCGAGCCAGAGTGTCTTCTCTGAGAGGCCATTTTCAAACTCTAGCTTTGGGTCGCGTTTTGGTCTGTAGGTGGTATGAGGCAGGGGACGGTGTAATCTCGGAATGCACGCGAGTTTGGTGTGCGTGCTGGCTACTGAGCCCCCTGCGAGTTAAAATACTCTTCGCAAACCGCGAATTCTCTTAGCAAGCCAAGCCTTGTGCTGTGCCGTGATGGATCTTGGTGAGCCAAGAGAAATGCTGACTGCCGCCGCTTCTTGTGGCTTATCAAGAAACAGAAACACGGCTTCTCCTTCATCCCTTCCTCGCCTGCTTCAACGCCTTTTTTGTGGCGCTGGGTGGAATAAAGTCGGTGGGAAGGGAATGAAAGGGAAGGGCGACTGAACAAAAACCCGGCTACCCGGTCGTCGATTGCTGCTCGCGTTCCTCGCGATTCAATGCTGGGGTGCGGCGGCTGCGCCTGACCGGGTCGAGGGGAGTTGGCGGAGTGGAGAAGAGGGGAGGAAGGAAGGAAACGGGGGATATAAATATCGTTGTGCGGTGGTGGTGACCGAGGAAGAGCGGATTGCTTTGTGGGGTATAGTCACTTCTCGCGTCGGGTCGGGGGCTATGCGGTGGTGGTATGGCTGCGGCACGGGATCATTGTTGGGTGTCGGTTTGGTTCGGGGAGAAGATGGGGGGGAAAAAAAAAGCTGGCTTTTGGGTGATTGGGTGGTTGGGGAGAACTGGGGGAACGATACCACGGTAGAGCCGCGCGGGGAAGCTCGCCTTTCCGGCTCGACGGGGTGCAGATCCAGGGAGCAAACACCCTTGATCTGGTGCACTACAGTCCCCACAGGTGTCAGCAGAAAAAGACACAATTCCACCCCGAGGTTTGACAGCTGATCCAGAATGACTCTCGAGGACGCATATTGTATTCTCAAGGAGCTGCATTTCTTCGTATACAGTACAAAATATTGTCACGCGGTAACGTGTTTGAAGCGTCTCCGAAGCGGGATGTCAACGAGTGTCAAGGCAGGAAGACGAATCGGAACGGTCGTCTTACTCCATCCAACGGTTGATAGTTTTCAACATCCCTTTTTTGGGATGGCGACTCGCTTCGGACCTGCCTGTAGTACAGTCCTTTAGAACATGCCCTGGGCTCATGATTGACACCAACAAGCAAGGACATGGGGCAGGTTGTAAATCTGATACTGCACGCGATCGCAAGAGCTGGACTTTCGCCTGTGTGTGGAAGTGGACCTGCCAGGGCTGGACGTGTCTGTCGAACTGCGCGTTTGCAACCGTATGTGCGCATATTGGGGGTTCGGTGAATGAAGAGAAGGTCAGGTTCGGGCGCTCGCGAGTCGGGACGATTGTTCCCCATTCGCGAATATCGAAAAACACCTGTTGCCCACTTGCAATCTGTTGTTACGGGTCCAAGCAACGAATGCACTTTTGGGTCGAAAGAGGAAAAAGCACAGTAATCAATATAAACATTACGGTAATACCGAAAATCACCCCAAGCGATAGCTGGACTGCAGATTTGGGTGAAGTATACGTGCACAGCTGTTCTTTGCATCGCGTATACATACAAACGGGAATGTTGCAGCCCATACGCATACAACTTCAACTTTCAAAGTTTTAGGCTCGGTCCGATGGCCTCGCCCTCCGAACGTCCTTTGCGTCGCCTCAGGGTCTTCCAACCCCGAACTTGCACCCGACCATGCTCGGTTCCACGGCCTCGGCCTAGCTAGCCTTCGCTCTATCAATGCTAGGTCTCATTATTTTGACAGTAGTTGTAATCACTTCCGCGCTATACTTGGTGGGCTGCAAACTGGTCGGTTGAGAAATAGATACGATTATTTCGCCCCGACTACGTTAGCGTTTGCGCCTTCATGAAAGTCATAAAAATCGATGTAAACCCTCTGCCTGTTAGGCGAAGCCTGAGACACATAGAGGAGGCAGGGCTCAACGAGTTCATGCAACAGTTCCGGGCGATGCAAGCCAGCTTGCAGACGATGTCTGCAGAGATGGAGCGCCTGAAAGAAAACGCCAAGCTACGCCAGTCGTGAGGTGAAGCGCGCTAGGTGCCGCCCTTCGTGGACGAAGTTGTCAAACTATATTTGTGTGTTGGCTTTGTCTAGGCTGTAGTGGGGTAGCACTAGGGGGTACAGAATTTCTCTCGACATTCTTCTTGTACCCCTCCTTGACCTAATCTCATCATCCTTAGCCTAAGTTCTAAGATGGTATCTAGAGCAGTAGGTCTTAGGACCTAAGATTTGGGCCCACCGGTTACCACGTTACCTCACCTACGGCCTAGTCTGCCTGCCTTGCCTGCTACCCGCGCGCGCCTTGACGGCACGCGCGTCATTTTTTTTTTTGAGCGTGCCCCGCTGCTGCAGCCTGCAACCCGCTGCTGCCTCACGCGCCGCGCGCCCCGCCTCAGCAGCCCGCACGCACGCTGTTGCCTCGCCCGCAGCCCGCCGTCGCGTGCAGCCCGCTGCCGCACGCCTTCCCTCGCTGCGCGACACCCGCTGCCGCCCGCAATCCGCGCCCGCACGCACCCCGCCGCCACGCGCAGCCAGCAGCCGCGCGTGCCCTGCCCGTGCGCCGCCCGTCGCCGCAGAGCCCTGCCCTGCCCGAGCCCAGCCCGCCGCCGCACGCGATTCGCCGCCGCGCGCACCCCTCGACCCGCGCAGCCCGCACCCGCGCGTGCCTCGCCCGTGCGCCCGTCCGCCCTAACCGAGCGCCACTCGCCGCCAACTGCGCTTGCCTGCCTGAGCATATTGCCTGAGCCTACAACAGTTGCCTGCTGCCTGAGCCTGCTACGGTTGCCTGATGCCTGAGACTGCTGCCTGAGCCAGCTGACTGAGCCTACTTCCTGAGCCTCCTGCCTGAGCCTTCTGCCTCTGCCTACGCTGCGACCATGGCGACCCTCACTGTCCTCGCGTTTGAGCCTGACAGTCGCCCGATCGAGTTTGACACCTGGCTTAGCGATCTGCAGCTTTACCTGATGACTAATATCAAGGACGGCACATCACTGCTCGATTATGTGACTAGCACTGTCCCTACTCCTGCTGAGACTGCTCCTGCCCGCCCTTGACCGTGCACAGTGGCGGACCCGCGATGCAGTTGCGCGCCTAGCTATTCGCAATCACCTGCCGATCACTGAACGCGCGCATTTCAACCAGCTTAAGACTGCTAAAGCGCTGTATGAGGCTGTAGTTGCCCGCTATTCCGCCCCAGCCACTGTAACCGTTGGTAGTCTCACCCTACTGTCATGCGTCTGCTAGCCACTGTTATCACTGACCCGTCGTTTGAGTCTGCTGCTGCGCCTGGCTTGGTCGCTAACCTTGTTGACTTTGCTGCTGCTTGTCGTCTAGACTACGCTGCTAGCCTTGTTCCTGAGTCTGAGTCTGTCTGTCCTCCGTCCGTCGGGGGTGAGTGTGCTCTTGGCACGGACGTCCTTGAGGACAGGCACGAGGACCTTGAGTGTCTCGCAGCCGCTGCGCCTCATCTCGTGGCCATGCTGCTTGCCCCTGAGGGAGACCCGGATGCTGTAGACATCCCGACCCCGCGTTCTTACGCTGAGGCGATCGCGGGTGAGTACTCCTCTCAGTGGCAGGCAGCCATGGACGCAGAGATGGCATCATGGAAGTCCACAGGCACGTACGTCGATGAGGTTCCCCCTCCCGGGGCGAACATCGTCGATGGCATGTGGATTTTCAGGGTGAAGCGGCCGCCAGGTTCTCCTCCTGTCTTCAAGGCTCGTTACGTTGCTCGAGGCTTCAGTCAGCGAGAGGGAGTCGACTTCTTCCAGACCTTCTCCCCCACCCCGAAGATGACCACTCTTCGGGTGCTGCTGCACGTTGCCGCTCAGCGTGACTACGAGCTTCACTCGCTTGACTTCAGCACAGCTTTCTTGCAGGGCAGCCAGCACGAGGAGATCTGGCTGCGCCGCCCACCTGGCTTCACTGGGTCGTTCCCTCCTGGTACCCAGTGGAGCCTCCGGCGGCCAGTCTACGGTCTCCGCCAGGCGCCTCGTGAGTGGCACGACACAATGAGGACTACGCTTGCGGCTCTTGGGTTTGCGCCTTCGACTGCTGACCCGTCGCTGTTTCTGCGCACCGACACTTCTCTGCCGCCGTTCTACATCTTCGTGTACGTCGACGACTTGGTCTTTGCCACTGCTGACACTGAGGCTCTCGCCCTGGTGAAGTCGGAGCTGCAGAAGAGACACACGTGCACAGACTTGGGTGAGCTGCGCAGCTACCTTGGCTTGCAGATCACCCGGGACCGAGCACGCCGCACCATCACACTGACTCAGTCACACATGGTGCAGCAGGTCCTTGAGCGCTTCGGCTTCACCTGGTCCTCGCCACAGTCCACTCCTCTGGCTACAGGTCACTTGCTCTCAGCTCCACCTTCGGACGAGTCCGTAGAGCCGAGCGGTCCTTACCCAGAGCTAGTGGGCTGCCTCATGTACTTGATGACCTGCACTCGTCCTGACCTTGCGTACCCTCTTGGCCTTCTGGCACGCTACGTGGCTCCTGGTAGGCACCGAAAGGTGTACCGGGATGCTGCGAAGAGGGTACTGTGCTACTTGTGCAGTACATCGGGCATGGGGCTCGTGCTTGGAGGGCGGAGTCCAGTTGTCCTCACTGGGCACTCAGACGCTTTGACGACCAGGCTACACAGCGGTCGTCACAGGGTTACACTTTCAGCCTTGGCTCCGGTTCTGTTTCTTGGCGGTCTACTCGCTCGTCTTCTGTTCTCAGCTCCAGTTGTGAGGCTGAGATCTACGCCACAGCCATGGCTGCTGAGGAGTTGCGCTGGCTCACTTACCTGCTGACCGACCTGGGAGAGCGGCCTCGTTCTCCTCCAGTTCTGTACGTCGACAACAAGGCCGCCATTGCCTTGTGTGAGGAGCACAGACTGGAGAACAGAACGAAGCACATCGCTCTGCGTTACTTCCTGGCTCGAGAGTTGCAGCAGCGTGGTCAGCTTCGTCTTGCTCACGTGGCCACTCGGGCCAACACTGCTGATATATTC